GTCGGCACACTCATAAGGCCTTGCTCCAGTGTGGATTCTCTGGTGTTGAATGAGGATGGAGCTCTGGCTAAAGCATTTTGCACATTCACCACATTCATAAGGCCTTGCCCCAGCATGAATTCTCTGGTGCTGAACCAGTTTGGATTTGCACCCAAAGGTTTTCCTACATTCACTACACTCATAAGGTTTTTCTCCAGTGTGAATTTGCTGGTGCTGAACAAGTTTGTATTTTAACCTGAAGGCTTTCCCACATTTGCTGCACTCATAAGGTTTTTCTCCAGTGTGAATTTGCTGGTGCTGAACAAGTGTATGTTTGTGGTTGGAGACTTTCCCACTTTCACTGCATTCATAAAGTGCCTCACCAGTGTGAATTTGCTGGTGTTGAACAGTGTGCATTTGCAGCTGAAGTTTTTCCCACACCCACCACACTTGTAATGAGTTTTTCCACTGTGAAAGGCCTCCCCACGCTTGGCACCACTGTGTAGTTTTACCCCTATAGGAGAGGAGTGGAATTGGGTTGAAGAAGGCTCCCTCTGGTTGGGAAAGATTTCTCTGACGCATGGTATCTGTAACTAGTCACAAAGGGGAACTTGTCCATGTCTTTGCTGAAGGATTTCTCTCCAGTGTGCTCCCCTTCTGGTGGTAGTAAAGGTTTGTGCTCAGCCAGAATTGTTTCTCACATGCCCTGCATGTGTATGACTTCTGCCTAGAATGTGTTCCTGGGAACTCAGCCAGGTGCAAAGTGTCGTTCATGACAGGAACACATATCTCACAGAGATGATTCTGGGCTGATGCATCTAACTTTGGGGTCCCAGGCTGTGACACTATTCCTACAGAAATACTCTGAACAGAAAGTGTCTCTGCATTCTCTGTTCCACACCAACAACCTGAAAGCAGAAATTGTGGCAAAGTGCCTTGATCTTTAGGGGCCTTTTGCAACTATGTGTCATGGGACTGTTCTCAGAACAAGGGAGTTGGATTCGGGTTGAGGAAGGGGATGCTTTGCAGACCTGGGACTCTGAGGAGTCAGAAGACAAAGAAAGCAAGGGGGGGTGAAGCACCGCCTAGCCAACTAACCTCTGCAGATGGTCTTCATTGGGGTCCTGGCCCCTGGTGACATGGGAGTGCTGCAGAGAAGTTTGTATCCAAGCGCAGGGATACCTGCTCACACTCAGAAGCTAGTGTTCAAGAACCATTTAGGGATACGTGCAAAAGGCAGAACTGAGGTACAGTCACTGGTATTTGCACCAAAACAGGTGAACAGAGAACAGGTCTTGGGTCTGACTGTGAACACAGCCCTAATGTCCTGCCTTTCCTCAGCTGCCACTCAGAGGGCCAGGCACCCACTGAGCCCATTTCCTGAAGTTAGAGTCCTGTTCATCAGTGGGACCTGAATAACGTAAGCCCTAAGGGATCAGACTCCTGGTGTGCGCTGTGGGATCAGCACTGGATTACAAACCACAAGGTCAGCAGTTTAAACCCACCAGCTGCTCCTCAGAAATCCTATACAGAGTCGCTATGGGTCAGCACTTAATTACAACAACCAGGGAAAGACAGAACAGAGGAGTGGCCAGCACTGGCCTAGAGCAACTCACATATGACAGACCACAAGAAAGAAAGAAAAAAAGTGACAGAAAAGAACTTCAAAGGAGTATCTTGCAAGAACAACCATGGCCCGCATACGTAGGGACCATGTCAGAGACTGCAACTCCTATCACAGGTAGCCCAGGAGAGACATCCGCTAGAAGAAGGGAACAGAGTCTGGGGCACACAGGTGCCAAGGATGTAGACAGAGTCATCCTGGGAAGAGGGCAAGCTTTGGAGCTCACTGTAAGAATCCTGATTCTCAGTGCTTGCTTGTGAGGCTTTAAAGCAACAGATATTGGGCCATGAGAGGCCAGTGCAAACCATGCAACCAGGGCAATGACGGCACCTCTCCTGGAACAGTGGAAGGAAGCAGTGCTTACAGTGCAGAGATGAGAAGGACAGATATGTTCCTGAGAAAAGGGAAAGTGGAGATCATAGGGCTGGGTGGGAAAGCCTGACTGAGCGAGGAGGGATTAAGTCCAAAGTTCTCCAGCATCACATGGTGGTAGAGGAGTCTCTCTGAGCCCCATCAAGGAGCCCCCACTCCTCCCAGGTCCAGGATCCAGGAAAGCATTAGCTGATCTCTGAGTGTCCACAACCCATCACCTCCTCATCTCCCTCTTTCCTCACGCTCCATTAACCACTGGAGAGCCAGTTCTAAGCAGCAACAGCCGGCTGGGTACATAAACATCTAAGCTTGGAAATCCTATACAGGGTCGCTATGGGTCGGAACCGACTCGACGGCGCGTCACAACAACAGCAAGCTCTGGGCACGGCCTACAGGCCCCCAGCTTCTCCTACCCACTAATTCCCTGGAATATTCCATATCATGTCTTCCAGATACACAATAAAATCTGGGCTCCCCTATGACTCCCAACACTTGGGTACTGGGGCTATCAGTTCACATCATCTTCTCCACGTCATCTGCAGCACAGAGCCACCGCCCCTTCTCTGCCCCATGCCATGGACATCTCCCTCAACTAGCCACAGGTCACTTGGCACATGGTGTGAAGACAGTGCTTAACAAATTCAAACAGGATCCATCCTGAGGGAGCCTCAAAAAGTTCATGAAAAACTGGAACTAAAAGATCATGGAATCATCCCACACACTTCTGGAAGCCCCCGCATACTCCCCAATACCTCCAGTGGTGTGCACTGCAAGGGGCGGCCCTGAATCCTTCTACAAAGGTATCCTGGCCTGCCTCGGATTCTTGCTTCGACATAAGCCATCCAGAACCACATGCGGATTGTGGGTTTCAACTACCCGCGTGCTCTCCACTCCAGCTGCACCTGCTGTCCCCCTTACCAGTCCCCTTCCTCTCTCCATTTACAGTCCAGTCCCGCTGACCTCTTGGGCCAAGCAGTGACTCTCACAGATGATGACATTTGCCTCTGACCTTACCCATCGTTGTTGTTATGTGCCGTGGAGTCGGTTCCGACTCATAGCGACCCTGTACAGGGTTTCCAAGGCTGTAAATCTTTACGGACTCATCTTTCTCCCACGGAACAGCTGGTAGGTTCAAACTTCTGACCCTGAGGTTAGCAGCCCGATTCGTTATCCATTAGCAAGACCGAAATATCCCATACTCCCTAGAGCTAGCCACAAAATTCAGGTGTTCTATACCTGTTGCTGCTAAGCTGCTTCTGACTCAAAGGACAGTGTCTACCTGCCCAGCACGGTTCCCAAGGCTACAGTGGTGACGGAAGCAGATTGGTGCATCTTTCTCCTAAACAACAGCTGGTGGTTTCAAATTGCTGACCTTCTAGATAGCAGTCACGTACAGAACCCCTGCACCTTCATGGCCACTGCTCTGTCTCACCTGTTTGTACCACCCACTATCCCCCACTATAGGTGCCCAAGCAAGAGCCCCTGTCCTAACGTTCACCCTCTACTTCCTGGTCTGCAAATAACATTACCACCACGATCTCAAGACCCCATCCTAAACGTGGTTCACAGCTCTACCAACCATGGCTCACACACTAGCCACCCCTTGTGGAGGTTTCCACCGTAAACCTCTCCCCAGATTTCAAGACCTGTGTGCCAGCCTGCCCACTTGATGCTTCCACTCAGTGGTTTCTGAAACAACCAGATTCTTTAAATAAATACATCTGAGATCCCCAATAAAAATTACTCTGATTACTGACTTCCCCATCTCAATCGATGGAACTCAATCTTTTCACCTGTTGTTGTTGTTATGTGCCACTGAGTCGGTTCCGACCCATAGCGACCCTGTACAGGGTTTCCGAGGGTGTAAATCTTTACGGGAGTAGAAAGCCTCATCTTTCTCCCGCGGAGCAGCTGGTAGTTTCGAACCGCTGACCTTAAGGTTCGCAGCCCGATTCGTAACCACTACGCTATCACAGCTCTTTTCACCTAGTAGGACCCAAAACTCTAGGGCCCTTCCTGACTCTTTCCTTTCTCTCTCTCTCCCACCATGTCACAAAATCCCGTTGGTCCCTCTTAACTGTACTGAGAACCCACGCACGTCGCCCCCACCTCTACAACCACCACTCTGGTCCCTCAACACTGACATGGATGGTTGAGCCTCCTCCAGCTTCCTGTCTCCTCTAAACTCCCACATGGTCTGTTCTCCACTCTGCAGCCAGGGGGAGCCTGTTAACATCGGGGTCCGATCACCTCCCTTTTTGATCCAAACACCCCGGAACCGTAGACTTCAGGGCCAGCTTCATTGTAGCTCGGACTCTGGCGTCTCCCGCTTTGTTCCTAACCGAAAGATTGCTGTCCCCGGCTCCCAGGGTCCCATGGTAATCCTTCAGGCCTCTACCACTCTTCACCGGTTGCCAGAAGTGTGAATCCCTCTATAACCGTCGCCCTAGATTCAGAACTCTGGGCTTGGGGTTTCCTGAGATTCAAGCCACAATCCCAGAGAACACGTGGTTGGGGTCAAGCCCAGTGACGTCCCGTCTAGATTCCCGTCTAGCCGTGGGAAGCTGCGGAAAGAGGAAACCATACGGGATCGTGGCCATGGTAAGGTTGGACGGGCAGCCGGCCTCCCTGAGCCTCTGCCCAGGCCTGGCTGGCGCCAACTCTGAGCTGACCGGCTCGCCTCTGGGCCACAGCGCTGCAGCACACCAGTTGTATGATCCCAAACAAGCACTCAACTACCTAGGGACTCCCTTCCAATCACTTCTCCCCAATGGGCAGCTTTCGGGAAGCTCTGAAACCCCTAACCCGGACAGCGTCCCGCCTCTGTTCACAATCCTCCACGGCTCCCAGCACCCTCGAAAGGGGCAACTCCTCCACCTGCCATTCCAGGTGTGACTCGCCCTCAAGCCCGAAGTGCCGGGCTCGGGTGTACCTACAAAGCTTCGCAGGTTCGAGTCCCAGCGGTGGCGCAAACGTTAGACGTTCGTCTGCGAGGCCTGCGCAAGGGCAAGGTCCCCGTTCTTACCTCACAGGGCTGGGACACGATGGGCGAGGGCCGGAAGGCTGCAGCCGTTGCCTGAGCCGTTGCCATTCGAACCAGCGGGCAGACCAGGGCTGGGGGCAGCGGGCGGCAGGGGAAGGGCAGGGGCGCCGCGCCTCCGGCCCCCTGCAAGGCTCCAGAACCCCGGGGCCGGTGAACATCGTTGTTGTTAAGTGCCGTCCAGTCGGTTCCGACTCATAGCGACCACGTATAGGGTTTTCGAGGAGCGGCTGGTAAACCTGAACCATCGACTTCGCAGTTCAAACCGACTTTGTAATCCAGCGTTTTAGCCCACGGCGCCACGCCGCCTATAAGACGCCGCCGGAAGTCCCGCCCCGACAAAAAACGCTCGCTCACGGAAACGCCCTTATCTTGGTGGGGAGAGGGGCCTTCATTGCGGCTACCTCTCGGCGTGGTGCCCTCTGGGTAATGTAGTTCCACACCTCTACAAGCCACAGCTGTGGTGTTACCCGCCCCCATCCTCCTATTCCAATCTCCCAAAATAAAGGCCTGGAATTGGGAAACGACTTTTCCCACCTCCAGAGCAGGAGTCCTCGTAGGATATCCTGTAATATAAGCACTGGGCTGAAGATTAGTGGTTCAAACCTACCAGCCCTCTTCGGAAACCTTATACAGGGTTGTTGTCAGAACTAACTCAACGGCACTTTAACAACAACCAAGAGATGACCTTGTTCCCTCTTAAAAGGACAGCACGTGATTTGGGGGAATGTTGATCATTAATATTTAGAAACATTATTTTAGAACCCTCCCCCCCTTCCTCAAGGCCGGTGGTTCAAACCCATCAGCTACTCCTCGGAAATCCTATAGGGTCACTATGACTTGGAACCGACTCGACGGCATTTAACAACATCAACTTTTACATTCTACGAAGCTCAGCGTGCTCCCAGAGACTAAAAGTATAATTCAGCGCGCACCCCAAACTCTAGATTTAAATGTGTTTAGCCTCTCAGTACACCGTCTGGTTCTCCTGGTTTTGGGGTAGTGTAGGCTGTGGCTCATGCGGTCCACTAGTCCTTGAGACTAATTGCTCCCTTGAGTCTTCACTTTTCTTTACTCTCTTTTGCTCCAGACTCTAAGAGAGACCATAGGTGTATCTTAGGTGGTGGTTCTCAAGCTTTTAAGACCCCAAAGTAGGATGCCGAACATTGGTCTTTTGAGCTACGCTGTGCCAATTGATGTAACTGTACCCAGAGTCTAGGAATTTTGTTTTGGAGGTGTTTGATTATGAAGAAACTTCCATGACTGTATTTTTTATCTGCTCCATTGTCTATATTAATAAAAAGGTGGCACCTGCAATTATGTATATAGAAAGATCTACAATCAACCCTGTATTTGCAGGTGGGTTTGCTCCATTACTCTTTCCCATCTTTAGCAGGCTTATATGTCAATTCATAAATAATTGTTTGTTAATACTATTGTTGCACAATTATCTATTGTATAGTAATTACTGTGGTGGTGATGTGCCATGGAGTCAGTTCCGACTCATAGAGACCCTGTATAGGGTTTCCGAGACCAGCTACTCCGCGGGAGAAAGATGAGGCTTTCTACTCCCGTAAAGATTTACACCCTCGGAAACCCTATACAGGGTCGCTATGGGTCGGAACCGACTCAATGGCACATAACAACAACAACAACAAATTTTATGGGAGCAGAAAGCCTCATCTTTGTCCCACAGAATGGCTGGTAGTTTTGAACTGCTGACCTTCAGATTAGCAGCCAGACTTGTAACCACTACGCTACCAGAGCACAGATGCCTTCTGTGCTTGCATTTCTTTTAATGTCGTCCTTTGCCTTGATCATGTGCTGACATCCCCTTATTGTGTATTGCCTCTATCTTCACCCATGTGAGTACACATCTACTATCTAGTTGGACTCCTGGTGTGGTGCTGTAGGATCAGCACCGAACTGCGAACCACAAGGTCAGCAGTTCAAATACACCAGCTGCTGCTTGGGAACCCTCTACAGGGTCCCTATGAGTCAGAGTCAACCCAATGGCACTTCACAACAACAACAACTATATAGCGAGTGGTTTCCATTCCATCCCTGGTAACCATCAAGAACTGTTTCTTTCCACGTGTAAACAATTTCTTAGGTGGGTGCTGGCTACCATCTGTTGTTGATCTACTGGTGCTAAAATACCCTGTGGGTGGGGTGGCAGGTGTGGTGGGTACAGCTGGGTAGGTTTGCTGGCTCCCAACTGCTGGGGAAAAACAGAGGGAAAAAAAGTGGAAGTGTGTGTGGGGGGAGGGAGATGGAGGAAAAAAGAAAAGAAACACACACACCCCAACATGGCAAGGTGAAGAGGGGAGACTAATAAGAAAGAAAAACAAAATAAAAACAAGACAAAAAGAAAGCCCTAAAGCAAAAGAAACTAAAGTAGGGCAGGATGGGTACAAATGCTGCAGCCAGACTACAGCGGAGGTGATGGTGGGGGTGCGGCGTGGGGCACCAGTTCCCAGTGACTAAGTTCAATGAGATTCTCTTCCCTGGTTCCCCAAGTGCCCTTCTGAGGAGGGCCAGCATTTGCCCTAGTCAGTTTCTATAACATCAAGTAGGAAATAGTCATTACCATTACGGATTCCCCCGAATCCATGAAAAATGCCTCCTTAACCAAGATGGCTTCTTGAAATGAGCTGTGACATGCTCGGTTACAAGGAAAACTCAAAGTTAGGCAGCTATCACTATGGAGGAGACAGAGAAAAATTCCATTTCTTATTTTGAAAGAATTACTCACCCACTGACCTCTGTGGCCAGGATTGCTGGCAAGAAAGGGGCTGTCCATTGGTAAGCAGGAAAGGACACCTGGGCCCTTAGTTACAATCATGAGCACGCTGACCTCATCTCCCTGCGGATCGGAGATGATCAAGTCAGCTCCCACTGCACTCACAGTGTCTGTAAGGGGACGTGGGAATGTCGCCGGTGAAACTGTAGTCAAGTTCCAATCATCCTAACAAACTGCTAGTTAATAATGAGAAAGTTGAAGGATGGTACCAGAACTACTACACAGAGAAAGTTTGCTACAATAACTTTGGAAATAGAAATAACTAACTAAGGGAGAGGCGGCAGAGAACACTGAAACCCTGGGAAGCAAAGACCCTCTGCTTACCAAGCATATGTTGTGGTTTCCCTCAAATACTTGTATAATTCCCTAAGGTTAAATGTTTGTATTATTATTATTTCAAAAAAAGACTGAGGAAGAGTTTCTCCCGGATCTCTTCAGAGTGGACTCAGAAGTCCTCTGGTCTGTACGTCCTTCAGTCAGTCAGGGCCTCGGAGACAGAGTTAGTAGCTTATCATCCAGTGAGAAGATAGAGGTGAACACATGCACACTACAGTTAAAATAAGGAGCTCTGGTAGTGTAGTGGTTACGGAATCGGGCTGCGAACTTGAAGGTCAGCAGTTCGAAACTACCAACTGTTACGCAGGAGAAAGATGAGGCTTTCTGCTCCCATAAAAATTTACAGCCTCGGAAACCCTGTACAGGGTCGCTATGGGCCGGAATCGACTTGATAGCACTTAACAACAACAACACAATTAAAATGAATATTTTACCATATTTCATTATCATTTGTCTAGCCATCTCTCTTGTTGTTGTTGTTGTCAGGTGCCACTGAGTCGGAACCGACTCATAGCAACCCCACGCACAGCAGAACGAAACAATGTCCGATCCTGGGCCAACCTCACTACCGCTGCCACACTTGAGTCCATCAATGATGCCACCTGGCCAATC